AGAAAAACTTGTTTTTAAAAAGGGGGGCTGGAGAGGCGGCTGAGTGGCTAGATCACTGGTAGCTCTTCCAGAGGAGCCAGGTTTGATTCCTAGCACCAGTGTGGCAGCTCACAACCATCTGTAAGTCCAGTTCAAGGAAATCTGATGCCCTGTCTGTCCTCCACAGGCACTGAATGCACCTGGTACACAGACATCCATGCAGGCAAAACTCCCATACATAAATACGTAAATAAAAATAAAATCTTTAGGCCGGGCGGTGGTGGCGCACGCCTTTAATCCCAGCACTCGGGAGGCAGAGGCAGGCGGATCTCTGTGAGTTCGAGACCAGCCTGGTCTACAAGAGCTAGTTCCAGGACAGGCTCCAAAACCACAGAGAAACCCTGTCTCGAAAAACCAAAAAAAAAAAAAAAATAAAAAAAAATAAAATCTTTAAAACAGATAAGAAATTTCTCTTAAATATAAAGACACAGATATACCCAAAGTGAAAGGACAGGCTTGGGTGTGATGGTGTGCGCTGATAATCTTGGTTTTCAGGAGGTAGAAACCAAAGGGAAAAGATTCAGAATTCAAGATCAGTTTAGGCAGAAATAAAGGGGAAAAAAGGATGAAGAAAAATAAACCATACTAACACCGACCAAAATAGAGGTGAAGTAACCATGTTGATTTTAGACCACAGAGACCTTGAAGGAAAGAAAACTCTCCAGGGTAAAGAGTGGCATTCGACAACCACAAAAAGGTCAGTTCCTGCAGAAGACACACTGCCTCTTACTCTTGGCAGCTGCAGCGCTAGGAAACAGCCTCACCTGCGCCACACATCCTGCTAGGCTGATGAACTGATCAGAAGTTCCGTGTTTGGGGAGAGTTTGGAATGCTGCAGGTCTAGAGCCGACTTATCGTGCTTATCATTAGCCCTATTAATAGCCATTCGTAGCCCACTTCTGAGTCTGGTCTAGCATCCCTATGACTCTCAGGTGACATCTGTTGGAATACAGTTTCCACCAACCCAGAGCTGAGACTATCAGTTAGCATCTGCTGCCCACGCTGAGGCTTCTTTTTGGGCCTGCTTACCCTGGGGTCTTAGCAATGGACTTAAGAGTGTCCTGATTCGTTATTTCCTTTTGTTCTGTCATTATAACTATTATTGTGTTGAAACACAGTATTGGGGTAATCTGAATCCATGTTCCCAGATCAGTCACTCATAATGGTTCCAGAACGAACCATCTCTTGTTCCCTTTGAAGTGAGTGTTAGCGCCTAACAAGAAAAGGTCAAAATATGTAATGCTAAAACTTCCAGAAATTCAAGGAGATCTAAATAAATACACCATCACTATCATAGTTGATGATTTCAACTTCCCTCTACTAAATGATAGATCTCAGAAGCAGAAAGTCTCAAAGACATAATTGAACCCAACAGCAATCAATTAATTGGATCTAACTGGTTGGTAAAAATACTTTTTCCATCCAGGTGTTGGTGGTGCATTACTTTATTTTATTTTATTTATTTTCGAGACAGTGTTTCTCTGTAGCTTTTTGGTTCCTGTCCTGGAACTAGCTCTTCTAGACCAGGCTGGCCTCGAACTCACAGAAGTCCGCCTGCCTCTGCCTCCCGAGTGCTGGGATTAAAGGCGTGGGCCGCCACCACCACCCGGCTGGTTTATTGTATTCTTAACGCTAATATTTCTTGCGACACTCAGGCACTTGGTATTTTAATGACAAAAATAAGGCAGTATTATTTATTTTCTTGGATATTGTAATAGTTTGTTAATAACACGTATGAGCAAACTTCAAGCTCCAAATAAAGAAAAATCTTAACTTACGTTGGGAAAGAACGTTTTATATATCAATTGGGATTTGCTTGACATATAAAAAGTGCTGGCAAGCCGACTCCAGGTCAAGGCTCTTGCCCACTACACTGACCAACTGAATTCTATTTCCACGACCATATGGTGGAAGGAGATCCAAGTCCCATTTGTTATCTTCTGAAGACCTCCCAATGCGCACCACACACGTACAATAAACAAATCCATTTTCGAAAAGACAACAATACAAAAACTCTTAATTTGACTAAGTAGGCTGTTACAGTGCCCAAGCCTCCCAGGGAACCTTATACTGTAATTAATATCAGAGGCAAATCCTCTGTCCCATTTGATGAAATTCCCAAATGTGGAAACGAGGATATTCCATCCAGAATGAGAAACACAAGAGGGCTATTCTTTTTCGATTAAAAAAAAAAAAATCACTTATGTGTGCTCAGGTTGTGTGTGTGTGTGTGTGTGTGTGTGTGTGTGTGTGTGTGTGTATTTAAGGAAGGGTCTGAGATTCCCCTGGAACTGGAGTTCCAGGTGGTTGTGAGCTGCCTGGTGTGGGTGCCGGGAATGGAACTCTGGTCCTCTGCAAGAATAGTATGTTCTCTTAACCATTGAGCAAGGGCTCCGGCCCTGTGTTGTTATTGTTGTTGTTTAATTGAGAACAAGGCCTCACAATGTAGACCAAACTGGCTTCGAATCCACGGAGATTTGTTTGACTACACAGAGCTGGGATTAAAGGTGACAGCCCCACCTCAGACTAGATTTCCAGTCCGAGGTCTTCTTTTCAGTTTTGACGGAAAAATGCAAGGCCAGCACCTCCCTTCTCGTACCTTATCCTGAGAGGGGAGGGAGCGCGGGTGTTGGAAGATACTGAGAAAAGATGAGGGCGACAAAGGAAATATGCGCAGCCTGGGTTTGAACCAATTCCTGCAGTGGACTAGTGGAGCCTGGAGGAAGGAAGGCTTTCAGATTGACCCGTTTGCTCAGCTGTCTTGTTTTCCCTAAGGAGTGGTGCATGGCGCACTGCAGCCTTTGCGCAGCGTCCTGCGTACACACGGAGAGGACGGGCCAGAGATGCGGCCGGCAGTCTGAACCGTGGCTCCGGGCTCCTCTATCCCAGCCGTCCGATTCCTGTACGAAAAGGGCTTCATCCTCCTACAAGGACGCTCACAGACGCAGGAAGGGTACGCTTGTGCGTTCTGGGGGCAACGGCGGCCGCCTCCGGGCAAAGCCGCAGACCGCCACCCAGTGGCCGTTCTGGGTACTACACGGAAAACGCCGTGCAAAGACTGGCACTGCGGCATCCGGGAGCCAATCAGCTCTCGGGTCGCTCAGCTAACTTCTCTTTTCCATTAGTTGCTTTAGCTGCCAATCAATCATTTACGCAACCTTTATTGGAGGTGGCTTCAATCATTCTCGGTAAACCACGAATCACATGCTTCTGCCCCAGCCTATCTTGGGCGCCTTTAGCTCGCCTCTGCGTCTGACGAATTTAGTCAGTTTCTTTAGCCCATTGGTTAGATGAAGTCCGGCTTGTCTGTTTAGCGGAAATAAAAATCTCCTATTTCCATTGGCTCAAATTTACAAGCAGTGGTTGTCTATCAAATTTATGAACTCACGTTAGCGCCCAGGAAGTTCGGCCCCGGAAAGGGTGGGCCCTGCGAAGATGGCGGCCCCGGTGAGTTCTGTCTCGCTGCATCCTCCCGTAGCTACTGTGGGCGCTTCTTTTCGCCCGCTTCTGGTCGAGGCGAACCGTTGTCACCGTGCAAGAGTGGTGATGGGAACTGTCTCAGGGATGTGCTCGCCCTGACATGGCAGTGTTAAAAGTCAGATGAGAGAGAGGCGGGGTGGATGCTGCATGTTGGCTGGTTCCGGAAAAGAAGCTAACACAAAATTACTCTCTTCAAAATGAACTTTATTGACCAGGGCGGGCCGGGATCCCGCTTTGTGGTGGGAGAATGTTACGAGAACATTAGGATAGCGGTCATGTACCATAAAGCATCCGTGAGGTTTAACTCCGGTCTTCCAGTAAAGAGCAGTGTGGTGGGAGGACTGGCTTTGATCCGAGGCTGCCTGTACCCGGGAAGGACTGCTCAACGTCTCTAACATATTGGTGAAAAGAAGGGAATTTAGTAGGCAGTGCGTTCTGCCATCTCATCGCCTAAAGTAAGAACTTGACCATCTTTTCCTGTCTCCTCCTGTCTATCTGTAGGAAGTGCTGGAGTCAGACGTCTCGAGTTCGGTGACACTTTTGAAAAACCTCCAGGAGCAGGTGAGTTGTGTCTCCTTTTAAAATAAAATAAATTACTCGGGGATTAGCTATGACTTTGTATGTCTGATCCACACACGTTGATGATTTAGGGACAGATATTTGAATACTACATAAGTACGTTAAGTGTCAAATAAAAGCCTTCCATGGTAATTCATTTCTGCACCCAGAGAAGTACAGGAATTTTTTTTTTTAAAGTTATACCCAAACTCCTGTTAAAGACACACAGGCACACACACACTAAGCAAACAGATGTTGCCAATGGTGACATATCACTCTAAGTACCACTTACTATGCATTTACATAGTTTGATTTTTTTTAAATATTTATTTATTTATTATGTATACAATATTCTGTCTGTGTGTATGTCTGCAGACCAGAAGAGGGCACCAGACCTCATTCCAGATGGTTGTGAGCCACCATGTGGTTGCCGGGAATTGAACTCAGGACCTTTGGAAGAGCAGGCAATGCTCTTAACCACTGAGCCATCTCTCCAGCCCCTAGTTTGATGTTTTGTAAGTTCTGTTGGTGCAGACAAAATTACAGTCCTCAGTCTTCGTGTGGCCCACGCCTCTAAACTCGGCACTCAGGGGCAGAGACAGGTGGATCTCAGAGAGTTCGAGGCCAGCCTGGTCTGTAAAGTGGGTTCCAAGACAGCCAGGGCTACACAGAGAAGCCCTGTCTTAATAAAAAGATTACACTCACCACTATTGTCCTTCTTCTCTCCTCATCCCCTTTGGTTTCTTAAACAGTCCCCTCTCCCAGCTGTAGAAAGCAATGTTAAGTTTTCCTTAGGGACCTGTTAGAAACCCTGTGTTGAGCACCAACATTTCAGATAAAGTTTAGGTGGCATTTTTCCTTCACAGCGATTTGAATTTTGTTTGGTTAATTTCAGGTAATGGCTGTAACGGCGCAGGTACAAGCCCTGACAAAAAAAGTCCAAGCTGGAGCATATTCTACAGAGAAGGTAAGAGTTATTGAAGAGGGGCTGGAGCGGCGGCTCAGGGGATGACAGTTTGCCACTCTGATTCCCAGCCCTCGAGTTGTGTAGCTCAGAGCTCCAGCTCCAGGGAAATCCCTATGTCTTTTGGCCTCCAAAGGCACCCTACACATGTAGCATACACATACACACACACAAATCTTTTTTTAAAAAGGTACTTCAAGAGGGAGTACCCCTCATATGTGCTCGGTGTTTTTTTTGTTTTGTTTTGTTTTGTTTTTTTTCTGAAGATTTGTTGTGTGGCATGTGTCCTGAGTGTTAGGACTTCATACAAGAGGAGTAATGTGTGGTTTCCATGCGTGTACGGATGCACAGCAGAGGGCCAGGTGTGAGTGTGGCATCATTTTACAGAAGCCATTAGCAGGGATGTGCCAGCCAAGCAGAGTCCAAAAGGGTGTCTCAGAGTAGCAGGGTTTTGAAGGATAAATATGAGTCAGGGGTACTCACGATTGCAGTGTTCTGGGGAGTAAATGGTTTTGTAGATGGACATACATAGAATGTGTGTGTGAGAGAGAGAGAGAGAGAGAGAGAGAAGGGGAGGCGGGGGGTGGTAAGAAGTAAGACTGGAGTAGTCACTCTGGGGAGCCGTGTAGGACAACTGAGGAGTTGCTCTTTTGTTTCTTTTTTTTTTAATATTTATTTTTTTTATTATGTATACAATATTCTGTCTACATGTATGCCTAAAGGCCAGAAGAGGGCAACAGACCTTACTACAGATGGTTGTGAGCCACCATGTGGTTGCTAGGAATTGAACTTAGGACCTTTGGAAGAGTAGGCAATGCTCTTAACCGCTGAGCCATCTCTCCAGCTCTTTTGTTTCTTGTACTATTAGATGATTGACTGGGGCATGATGGCTTTGTATACAGACGTCCCCAGTGTCACTTTCTGTGATTTCAGTTATATGAAATTCACTGCAGTCTGAAAATATAAGTGTAAAATTTCAGTTACACCTCTTAAGATTTATTTATTTATTTTGGATTTTCGAGGCAGGGTTTTACTTTAGCTTTGGAGCCTGTCCTGGAACTAGCTCTTGTGACTAGGCTGGCCTTGAAGTCACAAAGATCTGCCTGCCTCTCTCTACCAAGTGCTGGGCTTAAAGGTGTGTGCCGTCATCACCTAGCACCTCTTAAGTTGTAAATAACTATGTTTAATACAGGGTTAACAATTATCAATATTGCTAGTTATTGTTACTCTCTTACTCTAGGTTTGTAAATTAAAATTTATCATTGGCATAAATGTTAGGAAGAACAGTGTGTCTGCTTCTGGTCTCTACCATTGCAAGCATCCATTTGTTTAGGCAGGACCTTGCTATGAAACACAGGCTGGCTTTGAACTCATGACCTTCTGCCTTTCAAATGCTAGGGTTGTAAGGTCCCTGATGTGCAGTGAAATAGCTGGTTTTCAAATTAAAATTTCAAGAGGAAGAAATCAGAATTTTATAGTACTTTATCGGTGTCAGCAGAGGGTGATGCTCAACGTTTTTACATGCTTGAACTGGGCAGGTGCGCTGTCTGCTTTGTTTGGGCTCTTGATAGGGTCTCGCTGTGGTGCCGGTGCTTAGAAGAACCCAGTTCGTGTTCTCACCTGTCTTTTCCTGGTACGATTCTTTGCTGTGTTTTGGTGCTAGCTAGGCTTCTAGCATACTTCAGTATATGTTTATTTGTATTAACTTAGCTTTTATGATCAGTACATTTATAAAGTTCCTTACAGGTTATAGAATACTTTCATGTTATCTTATTTGTGTTTCAAAATTTTTCTTAGGGCTGGACAGAAATACTGTTATTTATTTACTTATGAGGAAAATGCAGTCTCAAGTTCCAAGTGACTTAACCAATATTTGATTACACTGAATATGACAAACATGTCTACTCTTGCTATGTAATTTTGGTAAAGCATTTAACCTGTCAGAAGTAAATTTTCCCAGGCTTTGCACTGTCATTATCATTTCTATGCAAGGGTAAGTGCTTGTCCATATTACTATATTTTGTTGGAAAATCAATGTTTGCTTTTTTTTTAACTGTAAATATAAAACATTTAGGATTAGAGATTTTGAATTGTTCCACATTCTAGATAAGTACTCTGCTGCTGACTACGGCTTCCCACCCTCTCACCTACTTTTAATATGGGGAGCTTTGGAAGATACATAATTTAGCACAAAAAAAGAAAAATATTTTAATGATTTGTTTATTTTCACTTTGTGTGCATTTGTGTTTTGCCTGCATGTATGTCTGTGTGGTGTTGTCTGATCCCCTGCAGCTGGAGATACAGACAGTTTGAGCAGCCATGCGGGTGCTGGGAATTAAACCCAGGTCCTCTGGAAGTGCAGCCAGTGCTCTTTTTTTTTTAAATATTTATTTATTATTATGTATACAGTAGTCTATCTGTGTGTATGTCGAAGGCCAGAAGAGGGCACCAGACCTTATTACAGATGGTTGTGAACCACCATGTGATTGCTGGGAATTGAACTCAGGACCTTTGGAAGAGCAGGCAATGCTCTTAACCACTGAGCCATCTCTCCAGCCCCATACAAAGCCTTTTTTTTTTTTTTTTTGGTTTTTCGAGACAGGGTTTCTCTGTGGTTTTGGAGCCTGTCCTGGAACTAGCTCTTGTAGACCAGGCTGGTCTCGAACTCACAGAGATCCGCCTGCCTCTGCCTCCCAAGTGCTGGGATTAAAGGCGTGCGCCACCACCGCCCGGCTGCAGCCAGTGCTCTTAACCCAACTGCTGAGCCACCTCTCCAGTCCCCCCCACCCCCCAAAAAATTTTTAAAGCGGTATAATTACCATTTTGGGATAACATAGGGTATGAGCTTGGTGTATTTTTCTTTTTGTTTTTTTGTTTTGTTTTGGGGGTTTGTTTTGGTTTTTCAAGACAGGATTTCTCTGTGTAGCTCTGGCTGTCCTGGAACTTGCCCTGTAGAGCAGGGTGGCCTCGAACTCAAAGACCCACCTGTCCTTGCCTTCTCAAGTGCTGGGATTAAAGGCTTGTGCACCCTCCACCCCCACTCTTTCTGGATTTTTGCATTGTGGATTCATGTGCTAGGGATGGGGGAAGGTGGCACAAGACTTCATTGCCATGGTAGAGCAATACACAATTCAGAGCATGAGTTGTAGTGGGTGTGGTGGCTCAAACACCTTCCCAGCACTTGGGGGCTGAAGCAGGGGGCTCATGATTTCAGGGTCATCATTGGCTACACACAGAGCTCCAAGCCAGCCTGGGGTTGTCAGAGACCTGAAATAATCACACATTAATTAATTAATCAATTAATAATGTATTAATTAAAACACTGCTTGGCCAGTCACTTAAGCATATTGCTAGCTAGCTCTTATATCTTAAATTAACTCATTTCCATTATTATGTATTTTACCACAAGGCTTGTAGTTTTCTAGTAAGGTTTCTGGGCATCTGTCTCCTTCAGCTACATGGCGTCTCTTTGACACCCCCTCTTCTCTCCTCCTCTATCTGTTTGGAATTCCTGCCTTGCCCTGTTCTGCCCTGCGAAAGGCCCAAAGAGGCTTCTCTATTGACCAGTGTTATTCACGGCGTACAGAGGGGACTCCCACATCAAGCCTGGGATACGTGGAATGGATTCTTGATAGCTCTGACTGCCTTTGAACTTGTGGCGGTCATGCTTCAACTTCCTACGCGCTGCGCTATAGGCATGAGCCTATACTCACCCAGCATTTGGACTGCAGCTCCCGGGGTGACCCAGAAACTGCAGATGAGAGGGAACACATTTCACATACTTACGTGGACTAATTGGGAAAAGGTTGGGCTTGGAAAAATATTATCCTAATATTTGCCCGGTGTGCTCCTCCTGATTCTGTGGTTGAAACTAAGAATCTGCCTCTTCCTGTTGTGTTTGAGTTAGGGTCTGAGCTTCTTGGAAGTGAAAGACCAGCTGCTGCTCATGTACCTAATGGATCTCAGCCACCTCATCCTGGACAAAGCCTCGGGAGGATCTCTGCAGGGGCATCCCGCAGTTTTGAGGCTGGTGGAAATCCGCACGGTATGAGCCTTTTGCATATTTGAGTCTCATTTCTAAGCCCTGCTCCAGGGCTGTCACTGTCGAGCTCACGTAAGTGAGTGTTCTCCTGTTTAACTAAGGGAAGGGTGCTCTTGTCTGCATTTGCTCCACCTTGTGAGTGTTTTCATTGCCTTTTCTGGAACAACAGATGGACCTTGGTGTGTGCCTCATTTAGGGGAGAATATGTAAATCTTTACAAATATAATCTTTACCATATTGTAGGTTTTAGAAAAACTTCGCCCCTTGGACCAAAAACTGAAGTATCAGATTGACAAACTGGTTAAGACTGCTGTGACAGGCAGCCTCAGTAAGTGGGCGGGCCATCTAAAGGGTGGGATCATTATCTCAGTAAGTGGGCAGCCGTCTAAGGGGTGGGGTCATTATGTAGTTCCAGGTCTTACCAACTCTTCTTCTTTCAGGCGAAAGTGACCCACTTCGATTTAAGCCCCATCCCAGCAATATGATAAGCAAGGTAAGGTTTGCGTCCTCCTGAGATTAGCCCTGTGGTGACCCTGGTCTCCTTTCCCTTGTTCATGGTTCCGTCTTCTTAGGGGGTGCTCCAGCGGTGACCTTTTCTTCTCACTTGTCTGATTAAAACTTCTGGTTTGTAGAAACGTTTCCCTTCTTCTTTTGTAGTTGAGCTCTGAGGATGAAGAGAACGATGGCGCAGAGGAGGGCGAGTCCGAGGCTTCAGGGAAGAAATCTGTGAAGGGCTCATCCAAGAAATACGTCCCACCGCGCCTGGTCCCAGTGCATTATGGTATGAGTTGTGGCCATGGCCTCCCTGGTGGGAGTTTTGTTTGTTTCCTGTGCTGACTCGAGAATAACCCTTGTGGACTCTTGTCTCAGATGAAACAGAAGCAGAGCGGGAGCAAAAACGCCTGGACCGGGCGAAGCGGCGAGCGCTGAGCAGCTCTGTGATCCGCGAGCTGAAGGAGCAGTACTCAGACGCCCCCGAGGAAATCCGAGACTCCCGGCACCCCCATGCCACTCGCCAGAGTCAGGAGGATCAGCACAGGTCTGAGCTCCGGCAGTTGGGAGTTCTTTCAAGTCTGGCCCAGGGGCACACATAGAAAGTGGAGTGAGAGCCTGTGGTGGTGGTTGGCATAGAAAGTGGAGTGAAGCCCGTGGTGGCGGTTGAAGATTGATGACTTTGAAGCACAAATAAGAGCTGGGGAAAAGCTGGTTTTGTTTTAATTATTAAAATCGTTTCGTTTCCCACTGCCTGCATAGGCCCCAGCAAATGCCGTATAGTGAAGAATATGTTCATTCTCACGGTAGGGCTTTAATAGGCCGCTGTCGTCATCAGTCATAGTTCTTACCTTGCGATAGAAAAGGCAGGTTTTGTGTTGGTACTGAAGTCTTCTGTACATTTAGGAAAACAATAGAAAAACAACTAACCTGAATGCAGGCTCCTTAGCTTCGAGTGGGTAGCGTCTTTGTAGCCGATGGTTTCTACAGTAGAGCCCTTTCAGGGAGGCTGTGAGGATTTTCCCTGGTAAGTCATTGTGTGGTTGGACCATAGGTTAATCCCTAGGGCCGCGGGAGGATCCGTGAGAAGTTTGGTACTAAGCATGCCACACTCCTCCTTAGCTAAATACTGTATTATCTGTGAATGTCCTGAGGACTCGAAGTGAGAATGGGTAGATACTGGGACCCAAGTTATCCTCGTGTGAACCTTCTGGAAACTCTTTCTGGCAGGATTAACTATGAAGAGAGCATGATGGTGCGTTTAAGTGTGAGCAAGCGCGAGAAAGGACGGCGAAAGCGAGCAAGTGTTATGAGTACGCAGCTTCACTCCCTCACACACTTCAGTGACATCAGTGCTTTGACAGAAGGGGCCCCCCATCTTGACGAGGTGAGACTGGGGCCCGGTGGTGGCAGGCAGCTGTGGGGCTTTGTGCAATGAGGTTGAGAGGGACTGGTGCTGAAAAACTACCATTTCTTCACTCCGCTTATCTCCAGAGCCAGGGTCCTGCTAAAAAGCGCAAGAAGATGCTGAAGAAAGGCCGAAAGAAGAAAGGTCAGTGAGCCACTCAGAGTTAGCTGCCTGGATGGGAAGTCTGAGCTGGAATCCCACCTCTCAGGAACTGCCATCTCGGGTCTCTCCTATTTCTTCCATACTAGTCATTACTCTCGCTAGGTGGGCTTTTATTTATTTATTTTCCCAATCTTGAAATCTGTGTCCCTCGCAAGGGTCTCTGTCTCTGGATTACACTTCTGTGACCCCACAGCTCACGTCCAGGTGTCTGTAAATAGACTTGTAAAACATCACCTGGCTGGGCAGTGGTGGTGCACACCTTTAATCCCAGCACTTGGGAGGCAGAGGCAGGGTTTGAGGCCAGCCTGATCTACAGAGTGAGTTCCAGCACAGCCAGGGCTACACAGAAACCCTGTCTGGGGTGGGGTGGAGGGACGTGAAGGGACTGCTCGCCTTAACTGTATTCCTGCTGTGGGTCCTAGACAGATGGACAGTGCTGCCCCTTTGCTGGCCTTCAGTGCTCCAGCCATCCCTTGTCATTCACGGTTCTCCTTCCATTTCAGGTTTCCGGAGGCGCCGGTGACGCGCTTCTGCACTCTCATCTGGGTGCTCCGCCATATGCAAATGACCTTGGAAGTGTGGGAAGATCTTTACTAAATAAAATGGCGTTTACTTATAAATCAAAGCCCTCTTTGCTATGCGTTGTATGACGGGAATTGCTGGGTGTGGGTGCGTTCAGTGAGTGGCCGCAGAAAAGCAAACATGTTCTGGGGACGTTGGAGAAGTTTGCTTTGCTTCCTTTGGTGGTATATTTTTTTCTAGAAACGGGGAACTAATTATTTTACAAAAACAGCGGTAGAATACCACAATCAGCTCTCCCTAACCCCTGTTGCCCACCTTCCTGCACAATTTGATAGGTCTAGAATTCTAAAGTAACATTAGTTTTAGGTTTTATTGCTCTATCCATCTTGGCCACCAGGTGGCATTAGTGGCTCAGGAAAGCAGTGGTTGCTTGATAAACTGAAAGACCATGTAGGTTGGCTGTGTCAGCAAGAGGTAGGTCTTCTACTTGTCCCATTTTTATGAATGCTTCTTTATAAAATGTCATGCCCAGAAGAGCTGATCTTTGGTCAGTTCTGGAATGAATTTGTAGCTGAAGTGGTGGATGAAGAGTCCGTGTAGTCTTGTGGTCTAGTCTTTGCCTCTCCTTCCTCAGTTTACCTGGGTCAGGAAAGTCCAGCCCTTTGCAGAAGAATGTCAGCGAGTAGGGAACAGAATTCCTAGTGTGACATCCAGGAGAATGAATAACGTGCAGGACCTGGAGCCAAGCCCATCTTGGGCTCAGATCTGTGCTCTCGGTGGGAGCTTCCGGAAACCTTGAGTGACGTAAGCAAACATTTAAAGTGAGAAGCTGGGTCTATAGATCTAATTTACTGGAGTTTTAAAGACCGGGTCTCAGGAACATCTGATATTAGTCTCTGCTTTTCATGACAGGCATCGTGGGTAGGAATATAATTTGGGTCATTACATCACTAAAACTTTAATGAATTTTTTTCTTTTGTGTGTGTGTGTTTTGTTCTTTGAGACAGGGTTTCTGTATGTAGCCTTGGCTGTTCTGGAACCTACTCTGTAGACCAGGTTAGACTCAGTGATCCCAAGTGCTGGTATCACCTTTGTTGGAGCTCTTTCTTTTTTACACAGATTCAAACTCATGTAGCCCCGGGTGACCTTGAACTCACAGCGATCCTCTACTTCTGTCTCCTTAGTGCTGGAATTAAAGGCGTGCATCACCATTGCCTGGCTTGAATTCAGATCTCTCCTGGTCGTCCTGATTGAGGCAAGAATCAGCCGACTACAAGCTGTAGAAATTAATAGACTAGATCGATGGTTACTCTATTCCCTGTATCATGGTCATATGACTTAATATCTTGGTCCTTGGTTTTTCTAAGCTAGGAATGAAAGTATGCTTGAGTCCTAGGGCTACACCTCAGTGGTAGAGCAATTATATTGAAGAAACTCTAGGTTTAACCCCCAGTGTTGGGGGTGGGGAGGAAACTGGGGAGATGGCTCGTTGGGTAAAAAAACATGCTATGTGGGCATGAACTTGACTTCAAGACCCCAACACCCACAAAAAAAAGTCAGGGATTAGGGGCTGGCAAGAAGGCTTAGTGGGTTCCTAATGACCTGAACTTTATCCCTGGGACCCAGAGGAGAACTGAACTGACTCCTAAAAATTGTTCTCCAAGCTTCACAGGCCCGTGTCCTCTCCCCATAGAATTTGAAAAGTAATAAAAATAAGTTAGGTATGGCTGTGCACACCAGTAAGCTCCCCAGCACTGGCAGGCAGAGATGGGAGGATGGATGAGGCCTGCTGACTGCCAGTTTAGCTCCAGGTCCAATAGACTTCAGAGGAGTAGTGTGCAGGGTCACAGAGCAGAACAGAGCACATTTGGTCTCCGGTGTGCACATGTGTGCACACACCATATGCAAGCAATTAAAAATATACAAACCTGAATCTTTTAAGATTCCCTGTATATCAAGGAGTCCTGAGTTTTTGTGGCTTACCCCTGGATGGCTAGCTTCTGGGGCAGCTTAGTTCCTGGCTAGTCGGAGGGAGCCTGTGTGTTCTGAGACCTTATACTAATATTTGCTCAAGCGAGTCTAAGCAAAGAGACACAAGAGCAGATTTAGAGCTTGTGCCTTTCTTGCTGAACAACCTAGACAGGTTAGCTAAGGTATGCTTTGGAAGCCAGATGAGGTGGCGTATGCCTGTGTGTCTAGACTTGCAGGAAGGAGGCAAGGGCAGAAGGAATGCGAGAATAAGGTCTGCCTGCACTAAATAGTGAGTTCAAAGCCAGCCTGGGAAACAGCCAGGCCTGGCTTTAACTCGGAGATGGTACAGCACTTGTTCAGCATATATACAAGACCCCCGTTTTGTCCCTAATACCGCGGGGTTCCATGTGACATAACAAAGATGCTTTGGTTAGAGCCGTCACATCTGATAATCGGTGAACTCTAATTGTGCTCTTTGGGGACAGGATCCCAAGATGGTCTATGCTGGCCTTGATTTTGTTACTGTTGAGGACAACCTTGAGCCTTCACCTCTTTAGTGCTGGGATTATAGGCGAGCAGCACCATGCTTGGCTGCTGTTTCTAATTTGTTAAAATGTAAGATTACTTATTGCCCCATTTCTGCTAGAGGTCTTTTCCTTCAGAGACTACAGCCTGTGTACTCTGGGCCTTCTTGGTATACCAGTCAGTAAACAGAGCAAACCTCAGTCTCTGTGGGCCTTATAGTTATTCTAAATGAGTCTTTAGTTCCCGGATGTTCTTTCTGGCCTTTTGGCACTACTGGAAAAGACTTTCAACAATTTTTTGGCATCTTTTCCTGAGGATATTTGTATCAGCATCATTAGATTATGTCGTTTGACAGGATTTTATGTAGATGTCCATGTAAACCACCTAAGTGGGGTTAATTTTACTGTGGTGGAGAAGAAGCATCCTCCTTACTGCTAGAGCCTGCTTTCCCTAGCTTTGGGAGGAGCCCAGGATCCGTTAGTCCTCATGGAACAGTTTGAGAGCCGCTGTTAACGTAGTGGAACCACAGAATTAAGGATCAGAGCTGCAAGGTCTAGGCCTGTTCTAGTCACTTGTGTTCTGTATTTCCATTTTCTGTTCAGGCTGAATTCTTTTTCTTTTTTTTAACCTGACAAGCTAATGTAGCTTCTCCCTTAGTTTTTTCATCTTAGGGAGTAGGGGAAAAAGAGAGTTTGACAAAAATACCATTTTTTCCTCCAGATCTTCGTTTGTTAGGGATTTATGGAGCTTTGGGGAAATAGCTATCAAAGGTTACCTTCTTTGGAAAATGAACTTTGTCAGATAAGGAAGGGATGATCAGGTTGCGGTGGACCAGGTTTCAGCACCGCGGAGAGCTCAAGCTGCCCCCCATCCCTTGCCTTGGGGCCGGAAGGCACAAAACTAAGCCTTAGAATGGCACGGGGTAGGTTATCCTTCAGCACCGTGTCTCCTCATCTCCACTTTTGACTGCTACAGATTGAATGAGACATGAGGCAGTCTCAAATGTCCCTGCGATCGGTTTGCCCTGTAAATACCAGATTCCTGCCAATGCGATGAAGGGCTAGTGAAATAAATGCCACCCTTTTGCTCAGAGCTAACATCATTTCTATTGTTATGCACAATATTTTTACCATTGCCTGAGAAAAATTCTACCCCTACTTCCCTTACAGGTCCTTGAGGAGACAAGGCTGTTCTCATTGCTTGGCCTTCTCACTGCCTGCGCGTGCAGAAAGGCTTGCGCTGGCTCCCTGCCCAGTCTTGCTTTTGTGTTCCTTTGATCTCATTGTTCCGAGGGTCTCGGAAAAGCCCCAAGAGCCATGCCTTTGCATGTTTAAGCTATTGATGCCCTGTGAGAAGTGTATTAAAGGCCCATCTTGAACAAATTTGGGTCAATAGGTGGCAGTGGTCGCTGAGTCCTGAGGCCCTGACACCCCTGAAAGACAAGCAAATTTGATAGCCCTTATATTTAAGGATGTGATAAAGGAAGTCACATTGAAATAAAAATGGAGAGGAAAGCAGTCCCTTACAGTAAGGTCCAGGAAATGCTGAAAGAGGCTGGGTGACTTCTGGGGGGTGTTGTGTGGGGAGAGAACTGGATCCAGCTAGTAAAGGGTAGGAAAGGCCTGGGCGTTGGGATTAGGGGAGCAGGTCTAAGATGTGGGTGTTCGGGTTTCCCCCACGCTGGGATGAGGCTGTCGTAAATGAGGACCAGAGCCGAAAGGATAGAGTAGCGTGGGGAAGGGAGGGAGGGAGAGGGCGGGGGAGCTGTGTGAAGGGACGGTGGGAAGGGTGGGCTGTGGAGGACTGCAGTTGGAGGGGGAGGGGAGACCGCTGCAGTGTGGAATCTGTCTAATGGGGGAGGGGAGGGGAAGATATTGGTCTTTGCTGCAGCTGCATTGGTTCCCCTCCCCCACCCTTCCCAAGGAGCCAGAGCAGTGCTGGCAAATCTGTCTTCATGTATTTATTATTATTAAAAATGTGACGACGGCTCCTTCCTCGCTGGAAGCACAACAAATACTGCTGATCCCAACCCCCCCCCCCCGCCTCCCCCCAACACCGTACAGCTTTGCTCCCTCTCTCTCCCATCTCTCCCTGTCCTCCACCTTGGTTTTTCCTACTGGTGGGTGGGGGAACCCTTCCTTTCCTCTTCTCAGCTTGGTGGCTCCCTGGGGCTTTCTAATGGTGGTTGAGAGCTTCAAGGCAATGCTGGGTTGGGGAGGGAGGAGGGGGGCAGCTGAGTGAGGGGTATCCATTGCCCAGGGAGGGAGCTGTGTTCTTCGCTGTCCAGTGAGGAAAGGGACTTACTTGGGAACACAGATAAGACCCTTTGGCCAGCCAGTGAAGGGAGAATCAGACACGTGTTTGCCGTAGTTGGCATCCGGCCCCTTTTAGATCTTTCTCTTTCAACCACCTGCTTTCTGAGAGGGAAATCTCCCTGGGATGGGGAAATCAGTTCTCTCCTTTCCCTTGGTCGCCTCTCCAGCCTCTCTCTTCCCACGAGAGGTACACACAGTTTGTTTCCTCTCCCCACCTGCGCCCAGACTCCTGTGTCCAGGTAGGGGGCCTCTTTGTTGCTATCGTAAACCTCCACTGGACCCATAGG